CATGCCCACAGCCGTCTCCCCTCCCCCTTCACACACACACTTCCCTGAGGAATCCTAACCCCAATATAATGGACTCCCCACCCCTGCCTGTCCCCAGTGCAGGGCCTCAGTCTAGGTGCCAAGGAAGTCTCACTCAGGAGATCCGGGGTAGGAATGTGGGCCCCCAGGGCACGAATGAGAAACAGGTAGAGGTGGCAGGAGAGTGGCCAGGGTCTGAGGCAGGACTAGGATGAGCACCCCCAGCTGTTGTGGCCAGCCCTCCCGAGTTTCCCTCACAGCTCTGGCCTCGGGCACAGAGGGAACCAAACCTTCCCACCCTAGGCCCTGCTCCGCCCCCCAGGGATCCTGCAGCCTTCCTCTCTGGAGGGATGTGTGCGTGAGGGGGGGTGGAGTGGGGGGTGGAAGGGTGGAGGGGTGTTGGATTTGCTTTGGAGGGCAGAAGCCCCTTCCTCAGGGGCCCTTCTGTGCCCTGTAGACTGGCCGTGTGGACAAGAATGTGCCCATGGTGTGTGGCCACACAGCCCCCGTGCTGGACATCGCCTGGTGCCCACACAATGACAATGTCATTGCCAGTGGCTCCGAGGATTGCACAGTTATGGTGAGTGGTGGTGGGGACACAGAGGCAGGGAGGGGGTTCCAGGACAGGATCTGACACCATTTGGAGCCCCCAGACTCACTCGCCCCTTCTCTGCAGGTGTGGGAGATCCCTGATGGGGGCCTGACACTGCCCCTGCGGGAGCCTGTCGTCACCCTGGAGGGTCACACCAAGCGCGTGGGCATCGTGGTCTGGCACCCCACAGCCCAGAATGTGCTGCTCAGTGCAGGTGCCTGGGGGGTGGGGGAGGGGAGGGGCGGGCTGGTTACCTGACAGTGAGGGGCAGGCTTATGGCTTTTCTGACACTGGGGGCATCACCCAGGTTGTGACAACGTGATCCTGGTGTGGGACGTGGGCACTGGCGCTGCCGTGCTGACACTGGGTACCGACGTGCACCCGGACACAATCTACAGCGTGGACTGGAGCCGGGACGGTGCCCTCATCTGCACCTCCTGCCGTGACAAGCGCGTGCGCGTCATCGAGCCCCGCAAAGGCACTATTGTAGCTGTGAGTTGCTGTGAACTATGACCTTGACCCTTGACCCTGGGACCTTCACCCCTGGTCCCCACCACCCACCAGGCCCCTAGAAGCTGCCCTCTCTTGCCCCGCCCCACCGGGCTGGGGTCTGGCTCTCAGGCTGTGAGTGGGGTGCCTGGCCAATCGCTTCCCTTTCCTTCCAGGAGAAGGACCGTCCCCACGAGGGGACCCGGCCTGTGCGTGCTGTGTTTGTATCCGATGGAAAGATCCTGACCACGGGCTTCAGCCGCATGAGTGAGCGGCAGGTGGCGCTGTGGGACATGGTGAGCGGGGCAGGGAGCTGAGAATCAGCTTGGAGGCCTAGTCCCTGCCTTGCCACCTGCCTGGCCGAATGTCCGTGGCCTGTTTACCCACCATGAGATGGGGGTCCCACTGGTTGGTTTGTGAAGGTGTCCCCCACCCTGGGACACTGCCCAGTGAAGCGCTCCACCCCACTGCTGGATGTGGCCCAGCTCATCTTTACCTCCCACCTGTCCCTACAGAAGCACCTGGAGGAGCCGCTGTCCCTGCAGGAGCTGGACATGAGCAGCGGTGTCCTGCTGCCCTTCTTTGACCCTGACACCAACATTGTCTACCTCTGTGGCAAGGTGGCGCAGTGGGCAGGGTGTCCGGGGAGGGGGCTGGGAAAGGATCACGGCTGGAGGCACCCGTGTTGATCTCTCCTTGCTGGGCCACCTGCAGGGTGACAGCTCTATCCGGTACTTTGAAATCACTTCCGAGGCCCCATTCCTGCACTATCTCTCCATGTTCAGCTCTAAGGAGTCCCAGCGTGGCATGGGTTACATGCCCAAACGCGGCCTGGAGGTGAACAAGTGTGAGATTGCCAGGTGACTGACCCCTGCCCCTGCCCCGGGCATTCTCCTCACCGACACTGCTGACCTTCAGTCTTGGCCCGCCTATGCTACGGGCCCTGCTCACCTTTCTGTTCCCACAGATTCTACAAGCTGCACGAGCGGAGATGCGAGCCTATTGCCATGACAGTGCCTAGAAAGGTGATGCTCCCACATCTGTCCTGGGACTCTGGGCAGGGCCCTGAGCTCAAAGCTGCAGGGTGGTGGTGTGGCCTCAGCACTCTCTTAACCAGCCTTGGTCTTGCCCACAGTCGGACCTGTTCCAAGAGGACCTGTACCCGCCCACTGCAGGGCCTGATGCTGCCCTCACTGCTGAGGAGTGGCTGGGGGGTCGGGATGCTGGGCCCCTCCTCATTTCCCTCAAGGATGGCTACGTGCCCCCGAAGAGCCGGGAGCTGAGGGTCAACCGGGGCCTGGACACCAGCCGTAGGAGGACAGCACCAGAGGCCAGTGGCACTCCCAGCTCGGTGAGAGGTGGATGGGAGTCTGGGAATCAGGCCGGGAACACGGGGTAGGCAGGGGCTATTGATGTGGTCGCTGACCCGGGGAAGATGGCTGGTGTTGGCGGTAGCCCAAACCTATGGGGGGCGGGGCTGGGAGTGGGTAACCCTGAGGCCTCAGAAATCGAGTTCCAGGCTTAACAGGCCTGCAGCTCTCTGGGCAGCAGCTGGCTGAGACAGAAGGGTGCAAGCCCTGGGAGTCCCAGGAGGGGGCTTAGTGGGTGCCAGGATAAGGGGAGCACAGGGTGGAGCTTGGCCTAACGCAGTGCCGGGTCCCCCAGGATGCCTTATCCCGGCTGGAAGAGGAGATGAGGAAACTCCAAGCCAAGGTGCAGGAGCTACAGAAGCGCTTGGAAAGGCTGGAGGACACAGTCCAGGCCAAGTAGAGGACCCCGGGGCCTTCGGCTGGGGCCCACAGCATCATCTTCCTCCCTTCCATTCCCACTTCCTCTCCTCAGGCCACAATGGCAGATAAAATAATAAAATGGCTTTATTTTCTGGTACCTCTCAGACTGATGATGGGTTACCTGAATGCCGGGTCTGCTGAACTGCCCTGCCCTTGAGCTTTCTCCTCAGTGGCCTTGATGGGACTGACCCAGGGCAGGGGCTGGGGATGCCTCTGAATGCCCTAGTCCACAAATGCGTGGGAGCCATCCATGCGGGGTGGGCTGGGGGCCTCCTGGGTTCCACCCAGCAGTTCTGAGCTAATTAAGGCCCTAGCCTGGGGCCTGAATCATTTCGTTTCCCAAATCTGCCTGTTCTAGTCAACCGCCATCAGGTTGCATTAACTACTGACACTGTTGTTTGGTGGAAAATGAAACAACTGGCACTTAACGTTTTTTCAAATTGTAGGCCCCAGGGATCAAAATAAGGGGTCCTTTTGCAAGACCAACCCTAGTTTACAGGTGAGGAAATTGAGGCACAGAACAGGCTTGCTGAAAGACAGATCCTGGGTTGACCTAAGTCTCCCCTTCTATTTCAGAGCTTTCCCTGCAGAGCTGCTGCCTTTCAGGCTCTTACTGTGGGTTCCACCTGGGCCTGGCTTCTGAGAGAGGGACCTGAATAGATCTGTCAGGCCCTATCAAGTGGGGGCTTGGAAATGGGTTTCTCATGTCCAGCTTGGCGAGTTACCCCAAGTTGGGAGACAGGGCGATTAGGGATGGGTGTCCTGGCCTCAGCAGGGCTTGGCTCACACCACACAAGGACCATAGCAATGCCCGAATGCCCCACTTGCTGCCCGCTTCCTCCCTCTTCAGCATGCCAGAGAAAACCACCTGGGTAAAGCTGTGAGTCGGCTAAGAGAACATCCCTGTCTGTCCATTTGGATCTCACCCTCTACACAAGCCATGTGACCCTGGGCAGGTGACTTCTTTCCAGACCTCAGCTCCCATCTATATACACTGAGGGATGCCATCACAGCTGTGATGCTGTGGGTGGGTCCAATCAGGGGCTTGGGAAAGAGAATCAGAAAATCTGGGGCCTGGGCCTGTGACAGGTGTTTCCTTCTCTGAACCTCTCCTGCACAATGGGGATGGGCCCTTTGGGGCCCTTCTGAATAGACTGTCACTAACTCTTCTGGCCCAGGAGAATTGGAAGTTCGGGAAAGGATCCCTGGAACCCAGAAGGGTTAGCCTGTCACCACCATGACTTCCAGCTGTACCAATCCATTCTCCCTGACAGAAATAAGAGGGATGGGGGTGGGTGGGTGAGGTAATTTAGGGGCCAAGAGACTCGCCTTACAAACACCGGGAACAAGGTGGGTGGGATGGTTGAAAACTGCAATTTCATACTCCCTAAGAGCTCTGGCCACAACTGGTCTCAGGGACCTCACCTGTGCAAGGCCTTAGCAACCCTAGCACCTGTGTTTAAGCTGATACTAGAGGTATCACCTATTTTGACTTTGTGGTTCAGGTCAGCCTTGCTTTCCTGCTTTATCCCTATCCCCTCCCCACACCTTCATTCCTGAAAACCTCCTGGTCTCCCCAGGGGCATCTGTGGCCACATTAAGCTCAGGGCTAAAACGTCATTGGACCTTCTCCAGTGGGCCAACAAATATCAGCAATCCAGCTGTTTGGGGGCCCCCTGCTGGGGTACCATGTCCCTGAGGCTGGGGAACCTGCAGGGGAAGTGCTTCTGACATCGGGGTGATGTTGGGAAGAGGAAAAGGTTTGTTAAATTGGCTAGGACCCTGAAACCCAAGCACTTTCTCATCTGTGCGTCTTGAAGGCTGGCATAGGGCAGGAACCCCCAGCAATGGTCAATAAATGGGTGGGTTGGTTAGGTAGCAGCAGTCCCCCTAGGGGTTTACCAAGAATTAGAGAAAAGGCCTGTGAAGCCCACGCCAAAAGGGGCTTTAAGGATTGAACTTTCATTTTATAACTGGGGACAAAGAAGCCTTTAGGTGAAGACAGATGTGCCCAAAGTAAACCAATGGAGAGCGGTGGGGCAGGGAGAAGCCAGGACCTCACAGCCTCAGCGCCCCTCCCACTCTCCCACACACAACACACCAACACAGAAGCCGGCCCTGATTCATAATTTAATGGCGGTGCAGGTCCAGGTCCCTTATTTCTGCCGCTCATGGGCCCACTGCTCTGGGGTCAGGGTTTTCTGCTCAAAGGCATGGATGTGCGGGAGCTCTTCTGCTAGGCACGTGTTCACCAGCCTGGGGGAAAAGGTGGAGTTAGGAAAGGGCAGGTCTGTGCCTGAGTCACAGTCCCCCAAGTAGAGTGACCCAGAAGACCGAAGGTGTCCCCCAGGTTGCAGTCCCCGAGACCTGGGAACAAGAGAGGTGGCGGGCCTAAGTGTCAATACTCGACGCAGGGGCCGGAAAGGCGTGATCCTGGGGGTTGTGATTCACGGTGCCGGGCCGCATGGGCGGGGGTAAGGAAGTTAGGTTGGGGTAGTGGCCGGGGTTGTGGTGCCGGAGCTGGGACCGCACTGAACGAGGTGTTCCCCGGGCCTCACCGGTGTCTCTGAAGGAGCGGCTTCCCCTCGAACTTGGCCGACACCACCAGGACTCGGAAGCTGGACGCGCAACGGTTGGGAGTCGTGTCCTCCACTTCCTAAAGAGCAGAATGGTATGCATGGTACCAAACCGCCCTCCAAGAGCCTTTTTCCCCTCGTTGGGCAGATCCAGGCCGCTCAACTCACCACGTGCTCTGCCTCCAGGTCCCGCTGCAGCTTCTCCCGCAGGTACTCGGCGCTGAGTTCCATGGCGGGAGCCCAGGGCGGGTGGCAGCCCAGAGGGCACAGAACCCCGCTCGGATCCGGCTCACACTACTTCCACCCTTACCGGTACCACTTCCGCCGAGGCCTCAACTTCCGCCCTTACTAAGGCGTCCGTGAACCCAGCACTTCCGCCCTCACGCAAGCCCAGCTTTCCAACCGTCCTGGGTTTCAGCGTCAGTCAGCCAATCAGAGTCCGCATGAGGACGGAATTGGCCCGAAACGAGGCTAAGGGGTGCCCGCCACCTACACAACAGCCTGGGTATTGGGGGCCGGTTTGGAAACCCTAGGTCCAGCCAGGAGAGGGTGCAGGAACCCGCCTTGCCGTGGACCCTAAGGTACCTCGGATCGCCCCGAAGCGCTTTTTCCTAGACGAGCATCTTGCGGCCTTGGCAACCAGCCCTCCCCGAGATCAGAGGCCACAGCAATCAACCCGCCGGTTCCGATGGGCCCCGTGGGGGACTCGGCGAGGCTCTGGCGCTTCTTCGGCGTGTACCTGCTTTATTGCCTGAACCCTCGGTACCAGGGCCGCGTCTACGTGGGGTTCACCGTCAACCCTGCTCGTCGGGCTCTGCAGCACAACCGGGGCCGCAAAAAGGGCGGGGCTTGGAGGACCAGCGGGCGCGGGCCCTGGTAAGAGGGCGCGGGTCACGGTTAGGAGGCTGGCTTCATGGAGGAGGCGGGGCCCGGCGTGGGAGAGACCAAACAATGAGCAGGGCCGGGCCAGTGACAGTGGGCGGGCCCGGCTAGTGACGTGGGCGGGCCTATCTCAGGGGAGGAGGAGCCTGACGGGGAGGAGGAGCCCTGAGAGAATCGGGCTCGGGACTCAGACATGGGGCTGGGTAGGAAGGGGTCTGACAATGTAGACTTGATCCCGCGACAGTGGGTTGGTGAACAAGGATGGGATGGAAGATAAGAGAACTTGGAAGGGAGAGGAACTGAGGAGGAAGTCAAGTCCCTGTGACTGGAGGTGGTGCCCGAGGCTGGCAGGTGTGAGGGGACGGACCTCAACGAAGCGGGCAGGGTCTTGTGGGCGAGGCTTGAGACCAGCTATGAGGACTCCACTCTTGGGCAGGGCTGGAGGCGATTCGAGAGGGGATTCGGATTGACACGGGGTGGGACTGGGGGCTCACAGGCCACGCCCTCGTTCTCGTCTCCAGGGAGATGGTGCTCATCGTTCACGGCTTCCCTTCCGCGGTGGCCGCCCTTCAGGTAAGGAAGGAGATGGGGTCGGTGGGGAGACGGGATGGGACTTGGGGCCCTCCCCGGGCGGCCCCCTTCCCCGAGCGGCCCTGAAGCTCTCCCTCCTACTCTCAGTTCGAGTGGGCCTGGCAGCACCCGCACGCCTCCCGCCGCTTGGCGCACGTGGCTCAGCGCCTGCGCGGCGAGGCAGCCTTTGCATTCCACCTGCGCGTGCTGGCCCACATGCTGCGCGCGCCCCCCTGGGTCCGCCTCCCACTCACCTTGCGTTGGCTGCGCGCCGACTTTCGTCGTGAGCTATGCCCGCCGCCTCCGTCGCACATACCGTTGGCTTTCGGGCCTCCGCCTCCTCGGGCGTCGGCCTCCAGGCCCCGCGCCCATCCCTTTGGTGACACCGAGCCCCCGCCGGACCAGGACGCCGAGACCCGCTGTTCGCTGTGCGCGCGCGCGCTCCAGGTGCGATGCTCCACCTGGTCTCCGGGTCTGGGTGGGTCTCGAATTCAAACGACGTAACGACCAAGCTGTTTATTGAGGGACACTCTTTGGCCGCTCTGCTCCCATCTCTAAAATGGGGATAATAGTGCTTCTGGGACTCTCCTGCGCAGGGTCTTGGCTCTTCCCCTTTCACGGAAGGTTCTTCCTTAGACCCTCAGTCCTGATAAAATGCCACCTCTTCTCCGTGAGGTCTTCCTTGGCTCTGTATCTAAAAGTGCAACGTTCTTGCATACTTCCCTGCCTTCCTTTTATTTTTTTAAAGCCTTAATACTTATTGTCTGACATACCATATACGGTTGACCGTTGAACAACATGGGGGGTTAGGAGCGCGGACTCCACGCCACTGAAAATCCACGTATAACTTTACTCCCCCAAAAGTGAACTACAACCCTCCCTCCATATCTGCAGGGGATTGGTACCCCCACCCCCTCGGCCGCGTGAATCCCTTATATAAAATGGAGTGGAACAATGCATACAGTCAGTCCTTCACATCTGGGGATTCCAGCCCTGGATAAAAAATAACTGTTTTCAATCGGGTTGATTGAATCCACGGATGCAAAACCTGGGCATACGGAGGGCCGACTGTATATTTATTGGGGGGAAAAAATCCACGTATAAGAGAGCCTGTGCAGTTAAAAACCGCCTTCTTCAAGGGTCAACTGTATTTTATTTGTCTTATTATCAGTCTCTCCCACCCCCGTATTAAACTCCACAGGGGCAGTTCTTGTTCACTATTGTAGAACAGGGTCTGGTACAGAGCAGATAGCCAATAAATATTTAATACAGGAATTGAAATGATGGGTCTGACTTCTGCTGGGCTCTCAGCAGATGTAAGTAAATTGAGTACAGTCATCTGCCACTTAATGACGGAATACATTCTGAGAAACGTGTCCTTAGGCAATTTCGTGGTGCGAACATCAGTGTGTGCTCACACAGACCTAGATGGTACAGCCTGCTACTCACCCAGGCTCTATGTGGGACACCTCTGTTATATGCATGGTTGGTCTTTGAAACGCTTATGTGGCACATGACTGTCCTCGCCATTCAGAGATTAAGCAACCCCCGTGAGATCACTTAGCTTGTAAGGAACTCTCGGTCTAGCTGCTGTGGCCATGCTGTTATATAATCACTGCTAATACTCAGAGAAAATTGGCCAGCTTGGTCCCTGTAGGCAAGTATTTTACTCCTCTGTACCACAGTTTCCTCATCTGTAACATGCAAATAAGGGTACTATATGCCTTACAGTTGTTTTATGTAAAACCCTCAGGACAGCTTCTGGTCCACAGAAACTTTTTGGGAGTGTTAGCTACATCCTTACTGCCGGTTTTCTCTCTTCCCGGACTGCCACCTCTGATAGGATGAAGAGGGCCCCTTGTGTTGCCCCCACCCTGGCTGCCCCCTAAGGACCCACGTGATCTGCCTGGCAGAGGAGTTTCTACGGGAGGAGCCAGGGCAGCTTCTGCCCCTAGAGGGCCAGTGCCCTGGGTGAGTGCAGCCCTCCTACCTCAGCCTGGTTTCCCTCTGGGCAGATGGTGCCCAGTTGTCCGAATCTAGGCCCAGGGCAGCTGAGTCCTCGCCTTGGCTCCCAGGGCCTCACCTGGAAGAGTCTTTTGATCCTGACACTGTATCTTCTATCAACTGCACTCCTTGGTAGCTGTAAGAACTCACTGCTGTGGGGAGACCTGATCTGGCTGTGCCGACTGGGCACCGAGGAGGAAGAGGAGGACTTGGAATTAGAAGAGGTGAGAGGTGGCTATAGCTCCTCCCCCACCCCATCCCCTAGGCTGCCTTTGACCTTGGACCACCCTTCTTGTTTCCACAGGAACACTGGACAGACATGCTGGAGACCTGACCCCCAGCACCCCCAACCCTCCACCCACTCCTTTTCTGTGCCCCACCCTGCAGTTTTTACTTGAGTACAATAAAAAGTCTGAGTTAAGGGTATCTTCTGGTGTTTGCGTGTGTGTGTCTGTTGGAGGCAGAAGCCCTGCCAGTCACTGGGGCCTGAGGAGAACACAAGAGGAGGGAGGGGCCACTGACTCTGGCTGGAGCAACCTCTCTACTTGGATGCCCCTCTGCCTCAGTTTTTCCCAGCCTGCCTCTGACTCAGCAGTTCTGGACGGCTTGGGAGACACACCGTTGACCCAGTCGGCACACCTCCAGTGCCCAGCTTGACTTTGGACTTCAATCCAAATAGTAAGGATAAAGGCCAAGTGCCTTCTGCCATTCGTCGTTCTTCAGCCATCCGTGAGTGAGGCCCCCCCAGGAACCGTGGAGCTGGACTCACTCACAGGCTTATTAGACTCTAGCATTCTTGCTGTTTCCTATCCTGTGCAGCTTTCAAAAGAGCCTGTCCTGCCCCCGAATCCCATCGCACTGCCTGCCCGCATCGCTCTGGACTGGCCTTGTGGTCAGAGCCAGAAGTTCCTGAAATGCCTGGACTGCCCCCAACCTGAACCCTTGGTATCTTCATGTAAGGGTGAAATTCAGTAAATTGATAATGTAATCAGACTGAGCTTGTTTGCAGTTTAACTCGCCACATAGCCCACGATCTGGCCACCTGTAACTAAACTTAGTTTGCAGTTTGATCCACCCTGATAATCAGCTATTTTCTCTGTTTCTCTCCTCCCTGATTGACTGGAGAACTCTGTTCCCTTTCTCAAGGCTACCCATACCTCATTAATCAATTTAATCAACGGAATCCTAACCTGAAAAGAGCAATTTCTTCATCCTCAGGTGCCCAGACACCAGAATACACATAAAGCCCTGGGCCTCGGTGGTCCAGTCCAAGTCCGGAGTCCAGAGAGAACATCATCTTCAAATAGACCAGACCCCAGGAAGGATATCAGCCCTTGGACCTGCCTGACTGACTCCCCCTTTCCTTTGTTCTTGTGTACCTATAAAACCTTCTGCCCGGTCTAGGTGTGGGGAGGTGGCCTTTGGACAGGAGTCCACCATCCTCCCAGAACGCTGGCATTCCAAAGAAACCTACTTTTCCTTCCATGAACCATGTCTCTCAATTTTTTATTTTTTAAGATTTTATTGGGGAATTGGGGGAGGGGAACAGACAAGTTGCTGTCCTTTGGGTCTTCAGTCTAGTTGTGGAGGCGGTCGCTTCACTGGCCCATGTTGGTCTTTTGATCACTGCACTCTTCCCGGCTGAGGCAGATTGGTTGCCGGCCATTGGACGGCCGCTCATGGTGGCTCACGACAGCTCAAGACAGCTGCCGGCCACTCACGGTAGCTTATGGTAGCCCACTGCAGCAGGGGCTGCAGCCTACGCCGTCGCCGGTGACTCACGGCAGCCCAGCTCCAGGTCGAGCTGTTGTTCACCATCTTAGCTGTAGAAGGCGCAGCATCACTGGCCCTCCTGTGGGATCCGAACCGGGGCCCTGCTGCTCAGCGCTTGCGCTCCCAAGCCAACTCTTAACCAGCGAGCCACTCGGCCGGCCCTATGTCTCTCAATTTTTGACTTTTGCAAACGGCAGGCAGCCGGACCTTAGCAAAGTACCATTTAGACTGGCCTGGAATCAACAGGAAAGAGAATGTCTCACCTTTCCCCTCCATCCTCTGTGCTCTCTGGACCAGGGTCTTTAGAAAAAGCTGTCTGTTGGCCTGCCACACAGGTCAGGAACCAGGATCAGCTCAAAAACAAACCAAAAAACCCAAAAACAACCAAGAAAACCATCGGGCCCTTTTGTCTAGTTTTGATACGGGCCAACCCTGAGCGGCTAGGACTCCCAGTTTTCCTTGAGGCCCAGGTTCAGCCGCCGGTGGACATCACACCCGAGAAGGGCCCGCTCTCCGGTAACAGTTTCAGTCTTTCATTTTCTACATACTAAACCTACATCGTGGGTTTTCAGGCCTGTCTAAGCTTGACTCCAGCTAGTGTGCTAGGGAAGCCCCACCCCACCCCACCCCAAACTCCACCCTTTCCTCCCTGGAGGACAGCCAGTTCCCAATGCTGGCTCCATGTCCCTCCCACTTTGGACCCATAAAACTCTCAGCCCTGACAGCAGGTCTGCAGTCACAGAGCCACAGCACTAGGAAGTAGACACAAGGCCAAGGTCAGAGAGGTAAGGTGAGGTGAGTGCTAGGATAGGGGTGGACTGGGCCAGACCTCCCTTCCCTTGCACCCTCTGCACCATTAGCTCCTCTCCTATTGCTTGATCTCTGCCTGTGCACCACTCATGGAAATCCTGGCTCACACTGCCAACCAACCCCACCGAGCCGGAATCCCCTTCTCTTCCTTGGAGACATCAATTTTGTTCCTTACCATCCTCAGCTGCTCAGTTGGTTGTTTATCCCTGAGCCAGGATGGAGTGTGGCTGGGCAAGTGGGGTCACATGGCTTGTGGAGGTTTCCAAATGTGAGGGTCCTCGGAGCGAGCGCAAGGAGGGGAGGACTGGGAGGGGCCCATCGTGAGGAGACAAGCTGCAGCAGGAAGTGAAAACACTGGCACCTGGAGTAGTTTTCCCAAGTGTGTCCTGGAATCTCCTGGAGAGCTTCCAAAAAACGGATGTCTGGGTCCCAGCACCAGAAAGTAATTTAATTGGCTTGGGGTGTGGCCTATAAAAGATCTGTAGGTAAATTGTGGCCCACCGCGCTAGCGTTAGCCATGAATCCAGCCCCAGAATTCACTAGCTCTGAGCATGGGCAGGCCGCTCAGTCTCCCTCAGCCTCTTTCCTTAAAACAAAACAGGAATTCAACAGATGGCATTGCTGTGGTGTTGTTAAGGGAAGTAAGCTGCTCACTGGCTCCTGACGCAGCAGCATGGAGGTGGTCCAGGATACATCCCGCCCGCCACTGGAGTATGTGAAGGGGATCCCTCTCGTCAAGTACTTTGCAGAGGCACTGGAGCCACTGCAGAACTTGCAACCCAGGCCTGACGACCTGCTCATCAGCACCTACCCCAAATCTGGTAGGTGATGAGGACCACCCACCCCTCCTGGGCTGCAGGCCCCATGTGGGGCCAGCAGAGGCACGCATGCTCTCAGCCCTACTCACCCCCGTTTCCCTCTCCAGGCACCACCTGGGTGAGCGAGATTCTGGACATGATCTACCAGGATGGCGATCTGGAGAAGTGTCACAGGGCCACCATCATGGTCCGGGTGCCTTTCCTTGAGTTTAAGGCCCCAGGGTGTACCACAGGTGTGTGGCAGGGTGCCGGGGTCAAGTGGGGCACAGGGAGGCAGGATGCGGGCTCCAGTTCACCAGACCTTTCCCCACCCACGGCTTAGGTATGGAGGTCCTAAAAGACACACCAGCCCCACGGCTCCTCAAGACACACCTGCCCCTGGCCCTGCTCCCCCAGGCCCTGCTGGATCAGAAGGTCAAGGTGAATGGCAGAGGAAGCTAGGGAAGGAGACTGCTGGGGCCACTCCAGCTTCGGCTGTAGCTTCTGGGAAGGTCTTACTTCCTCGAGCCTGGTCTCATCTGTAAGGGGGAGAGGACATCGACCCCATGCTCTGTCTGGGAGGGAGTCAGAGAGCCAGTGAAAGTGTGACTCTTCTGCAGGGCCTGGGTGCTCACAGACCGGTGGAGGAGGGGCTGCCAGGGACTCTGCATGGCTTGTTCCAAATCTGGGTGTAGTGGCATTGAGGGGAGTGGAACATACAGTTCCTGGGACCAGTCAAGACTTTGGCATCAGAGCAGGGTTCAAATCCCAGCCCAGTCACACGTACCACGGGAACTTCGAGTAAACTGGCCCCTAAGCCTGTTTCCTTCTTGGCCAAATTGAGAGACTATCCCTTGCAGGGATGCTGTGAAGGGTGGACTGCCTAGTGCTTGGGGAAATGTCCAGTGCTCCGTGCGCTGTGGGGTGATGATGCAGGAATGGGGTTGGGGGGTCTTTGTCTCTCCAGGTGATCTATGTCGCCCGCAATGCCAAGGATGTGGCCGTGTCCTATTACCACTTCTACTGCATGGCTAAGGTGCACCCTGACCCTGGCACTTGGGACAGCTTCCTGGAGAAGTTCATGGCTGGGGAAGGTGGGCCTGACTGTGGCAGAAGGAAGGGGGTGGAGCTAAAGGACAGCCCTCCAAAACTAATACCAATCTCTGTGTCTGTGCCCCTGTCCTTGTCCCCAGTGTCCTATGGATCCTGGTACAACCACGTGCAGGAATGGTGGAAACTGGGTCGCACCCACCCTGTCCTCTACCTCTTCTACGAGGACATGCTGGAGGTGAGACCCCCGATACCACCTCCCTCCGTGTTTTATTTGGGGAGGCAGGAACCGCATGGGGACCTGCCACAGCCCTCTAAGCCCCCTCCCCTATGGCAGCCCCACACCAGTCCTCCTGGATCCCCCACCCCACCTTCCCTGCCCAAGACTCAGAGCCACAGTGCCACCTGGGCGGCAGCACTCTGGACAGCTCTTATCTCTGAGCATCTGAGTCAGCAATCATCCGATTATTGCCATTGCTTCTCCCTGGGGCCACAGTTACGAAACAGGACTGTCCCTGCCGTCACCCACACAGAAAGCTGACACAGCACAGAAGACAGTTAATTTCGCCCCAGGGACAGAGTACCAGGGTCAAGGGGCAGGGTCGGAAGTGGCCACAGGTTAGAGGGGGATCCCCCTTCTACCTGTTCAGTGAACAATCCGAACCTCCCCTGAAGAGCCCCTCTGCTGCTGTAGAACCCCAAAAGGGAGATTCGAAAGATTGTGGATTTTGTGGGGCGCCCCCTGCCGGAGGAGACTCTGGATCGCATCGTGCAGCACACATCGTTCAAGGAGATGAAGAAAAACCCCATGACTAACTACAACAACCTGCCAACCCTCATGGACTACAATGTTTCCTCCTTCATGCGGAAAGGTAGATTTCAGGGGGGACAGGTACTGGGGGGATGCAGGCGGCCTTGCTGGCCCCGAGTCCCCGGCGGCCTCCCCTGCAGCCAGGACCTTGGACCTCCCTCCTTCTCTCCCCACCTCCCCAGGCACCGTGGGAGACTGGAAAAACATGTTCACAGTGGCGCAGAATGAGCGTTTTGACACCGACTACGCTGAGAAGATGGCAGGCTTCAACCTCCCCTTCTGCTTCGGGCTGTGAGCGCGGCTCCCGGGAAGTGAAGCCCGCCAGGTCACTGCCCCGAGAATAGAATACGACGTGTGTGGCCAAACCCCTGTGCTGTACACCTGCAACTAGTATAAAATCATCCTGAATGTCAACTATAATTAAAAAAATCTATAGTCACGGGATGTAAAGCACAGCATAGGGAATAGAGTCAATAGTATTGGAACAGGTATATACGGGGTTAGAGGGGTAGCAGGCTGGGGGGTATATCACTCTGTGAGGGGTGTAAATGTCTAATCACTATTATTTTGAACACCTGAAACTAATAATAAAAAAGAAAAAAAAAACCTTAATAAGAGGAATTATATACTCTGAAAATGATCATTTTTAGGTACGTACGTAGAGTACCTTTTAGTACATTCAACTATAACTGTGTTCTAAATATATCTAACGGACTGAAGTCATTTGATTGTCACTCATGCATTCATACCGAGATATCTAAGCTTTATATGCTTCCTGATTGAAAATAAGACTATTTAGATTTTTCTAAATAAGCAGTGTCTGTGTCATGATAGGTTTATAAAATAATAAAATCACTTGATAAAAATGTTATTTGACTAGATTAAAAATAAAGCTCAGTAATGCAAACATTAAAAAAAAATACAACTTGTAATTGTACACCTGAAAACTATGTAACTTTACTAACAGCTATCATCCCAATAAACTTTAATTTTAAAAAAAGTGCAGCTTGTGTTGCACGGAGAGCCTCTACTGGAAGCAAGGAGCACACCTGAGCTAAGAACAAATGCACACGGGGACCAAATGAGGCCACCTGCCCCTGCGGCCTCCGGTCCCCCAACGTGCCCTGTATGGGGAGGGGGAAGAAAGGTCTGGAAATGGATCACCCGGGAGACATGGGCAAAGGGGAGGCATATTTATTTGATCAGTCTTTTGTTGTGTTCCCGCTTGAGGATGGCAGGAGGTAGATGCCAGTCTGCCAGCCTGCTTCACTTTTTCTTGGGCTCCTTACAAGCCACCACGTACCTCTGGGCCACGTTGAGGGGAGGGGAGTAGCCATCTGCATAGGAGGTGTCTTCAAACAGGACGGAATAGTCATCCTGGGGCTGCGGCAGGGGGCAGACAGGAGAAACCGATCAGAAACCTCCAGGCAGGGCACCCCCAAGGTCAGCCAGATGGCGTGCTCTGGTGTGGGGGCTCCTAGCCTCTCCTGCCCTCATCTTCACTCAAGAAGTCTAGACGTTTGAGCCCAGTGCCTGCTACTGCAGGGCTCTTCTCAGCAACCAAGGGTCAAGGGCAGGGGATGAAGGGCAGGGAAGAGGGGCCCCACTGCCTACATGGGCGAGCCATGCTGAAGAGGCCTTTCGGGGACCATATCTTAAGGGCAGCACGCAGGGGTCCTGGGGGAAGAGGGATGAAGGGCCTTTAAACAGCCATCGGTGATAGGTGACCAGGGTACCAGCAATGTCCCAAGCACGAGGAAAAGCAGCCTTGGGTAAAGAAAGGGCAGTGGCCCAGGAGTCGGGCTGGAAGACAGGCCCTGGGCTCAGTGCTTCCCATCTCAGGGCCAAAGGGGGGTCAGACCAGAGGACACACATCGGGTCCACTCCACTCAGCCTGCTGAGGCTCTGCAAGTCAGAAAGAAGAGGTCGGCTGGCACTGCCTAGAGGACAGGGCTGGAGGGGGGTGACAATGCAGACTGTAAGCAGAAGAGGGGGTGCAGCTCAGAGAGGCTGTCAGGTGAGGACAAAGAGGGGAAGGAGGTGGAAGCCGGCCCCATGCTCTCGGTCAGCCTGCCTGCCACTGGTGCAGTGGACGGCCTCTCCCAGGGGCTGCCTTACCCGCTGTGGGGGCGTATGGATGAGCGCACGGTAGAAGCACGTGGTCTGGGGATACAGGGCCAGCACAAGCTGCTCTTTCTGGAACAAGGCTTCAGGGTCCGTCTCAGGGTTGGCCTTCCACTGGGGCAGTGGGATGATACGCCGCCGGCTCAGGGTGTGTCTCCTGGAGAGGCGCTCAGGTCACCCATGGAGGGCGAGGGTCCCTCCCGGCAGCCTGGCTGTCCCCGGCCCCCGTGCCTCCCAGGCCAGCACACTCACTCTTTGCCTTCCTCATCGATGTCGTCGACCTCATACCTGCAGGTGAACACAGAACAGAGGATGCAGGGGGATCTGGGAGGAGGGCGGGAAGGGGAGCGGCCCCAGGAGCCAGCTCAATACGCTGTCCCCGCCCCACGGGCCTGGGCAGCACTCACTTGTTGGTGGCATGGCTGTAACTGACCACCTCGGCCAGGATCCACTGCTCATCCCCATCGACGGCCTTCACCCGGGCGGCCACCTTGTCCCCAGGCTTGGCCACGTAGTCCCCGGAGGCCGGAATGGCCCCACATAGCGGGGGTGGCCTGAGATTGGAAGAGGGTGTGAATCTCGGCGGCCCCTGCTTCACCAGCTCCCACCCCACACCCCCCCGGGCCTGCCCTCACTTGTCACCGGGCTTCCCAATCCACAGCGGCAGGGTCATGGCCGACTGCTGCAGCAGCGTCATCAGCACGCCCCTTCGCATGGTCTTCCGGGGGGGCTCCGAGTCATTGTACAGGCCCGCAATCTTGGCAGCTGTGGGAAGGAAATAAGCCCTGAGGCTCCAGGGACAGGTGTCTGCCTCATGAGGTGCTGGGGACAGGTGTTTGCCCTGAGGTACCAGGGACAAGTGTCTGCCTTGAGGCGCCAGAGGTAGGTGTCTGCCCTCCGAGGCACCGGGGACAGGTGTGGCTCTCAAAAAACAGCCAGGTTGTCACCACAGGAAGAAATGGGAGTGGGGTGATAGGGAGGAGGGCGGTGGCTGCCCCAGGCAGTAGAGAGAGAGAGAGAGGGAGGCCTGCACCACGGTGCAGAGGGAGGACGGGGACACCTTACCTGAGCCCTGGGGAGGGCCTCCACCCCCTTCCCAGCCCCAGACTGCCTGCTGTGCTCCTGTGGGAGGCCCATGGACCAGTGACTCCAGGCTGAGGTTACAGGTTCCCCCACAGGAAGACACGGCTGCTGCTCTCAGGAAGCCCCACTCCACCTGGTCAAGGAATGCAGCACTGACGTGTCATCTCTAACTCACCGATCCGCCTCTCTTCCAACAGTGACTTGATTTCCGCAATCTTGTCCAGGGCTTTCCTAAGGATGCTGAGGGCGAGAAGAGGCCCCCATGAGGCACAAAGCACAGACTTCCGTTTCTGGTTAAGGCAGGCAGGTCGGGTAGGAATTCAGACCAGCCCTCCTGCCAAAACCTCGGAAAACTCGAAACCCTGCGGAGGTGGTTTTTCATCTTATTATAAAAGCAATGAGATCTGATGAGACGGCAGGAAGTAGCAGGTCAAACACCTAAGAGGATCCCGAGGAGGTAAGCAGAGCAGAGAGAGCTGCCTTTGCCAGAGTACTTTTGAAAATCCTGAAGACATGTTGCTGAGTGCAGACGCCTCTAACAATTTCTTGAGATTCAGGAGGCGGAAGAAAAACTAGGGTGCTGCCCAAGGTGGGATATGGGCAGGAGATACACCAGGACTCTGGGGAGCTGTCAGCTCAGAGCAGGGCGGAGTTAAAGAACTTACTGCAGAACTCAGCAGAGCCGTTAATATGTTAATATGCATTGTGAATCTCTAGCTCAGTTGGCTAGAGCACAGTGCTCATAACACCAAGGTTGCCAGTTCGATCCCCACATGGGCCCTTGAGCTGCGCCCTCCACAGCTGAACTGAAACAACTACTTGACTTGGAGCTGATGGGTCCTGGAAAAACACACTGTTTCTTAATGGAAAAAAAAAAAAAAAAGAATCTCTAGGAGAGGAATGTAAGATCGTCTCCTAAACTTACTGTAGTTCCACTGCAGAGATTTGAGGAAACAATGTTTCCAGAGCATTTACTATTTAAAAAGCAGTTTTCTGGAACGGACACTTCTCATCGCAGAACCATAAAAGCTTCCGGTCATCTAGTATGACCTCCCAGGCAAGGCATGGTTCCCTACCTTCTGACAGGCAACCAGCCAGCCTGGCAGCAACCCTCAAGCATGGTGCCACCCCAGGAGGCCCACCACACCTGTGACAGCTGAGGAAGGGCTCTTTCTGGTTGGCATTCTGTTAAATGCAGCCAAGAGCCCTGAGCCCTAACCATCCTCCCCTCAACTTCAGCACCTCCCCGCTGACCATTAGCAAGGGGCTAAAATAGTGTGCGTCCATTAAAATACTCCAGTACTGCTGCATACAAATTCACAGTGTAATGATTTGATTAGAACGACGTTTTAAAAAGACAAAAGGTCATGTGCTTGCAGAACTAGGCGCAAAGCAGCTAAGCCAGGAGGCGTTGTACAGGTGGGGCTGTCCACTCATACCCACCGAGAAGGAACCTGCAGGCGCCCTCAGGGCCAGGTTGCCATGACGGGGGCGGGGAGGGGGAGCTGCAACAGGGGGCGAAGGTAACAGATGTTAGCTTCTCAGGCACCTGGCTTCTTTGAACAGCCGTAAGTGGTCTGTGTCAGGTGAGGAGGGAGAGCGACATATCCTGTGATGTGTGAGGACTTGGGTGCTGCCTGTGGTCAGCAGGTGCCCATCAGCAAATGGTCAGCTGTGCAGGCCCCAGTGCCTGGCTCAGAAAGCTGGGCCAGGCACCAGGGCAGGCACTCCTTCTCTTGTCCTGGCAGGCACTTGACATCTGAGCCCGTAAATCGCTCTGCCCTGGGAAAGCCAAACTGTACCTGTGTCTGCACTGGCGTAGGCACTCCTCACACAGCATTCTGTAGCAGGAACTCTGCCTGACTAAGGCTGTTGGAGAGTTTTCCACTGTCTGTGGCCAAAGTGTCACTGAGGACACCATTCCTGGTGCTGCTTGCTGTGCTCTTATAGAGCTGTATCTTGGGAAATGCCTTTAGAAATAATGTTACAAAATACCTGGTTCCCACCTGGGAATGGCTACACATCCATCCTCCCCTGGAATATGAACAGTGCGCTCTGTGAGCTTGTTTCCCTGTGACTCCTCTGCCAGTGTGCCACCTCAGGCCTTTTTAAAAAAGAGGTGATTGTGAAGTGAAGAAGAGGGGTTCCTTTCCATTTTCTGCAAAGCAGGAGGAGGGCAGCGGGGGCGTTCACGGCACAAAGAACAGCAGTGCCTCTTGGGACTCAGGCTGGTCCCTGAACAGGCTCTTGGCACTTCCTCCATTCCCAGAGGGTCTCAGTTCACCTACCTGGCCAGCGAGCCGATGTGCACTGCAGCTCCTGGATCAGCAAGCACTATGGGAACTTGCATCACTGCATTTCCCTCCCAGCCTTGGAGCTCCCTGCTGGCATCCCTACCCCACCCACTCTTCCACGCCCAGCGGGGCATTTGGTGCTGAGGTGGCCTGACTCAGGGTTGAGCAAATTAATCTATGCATGGGGGACAGTCTGAAAAAGTGAAATCGTAGAACTGCAAGAAGTTGAGACCTGCAGTTATGAAACAAGCTTAACTCTGGGGAAGTTAACGCCAGAGAAGAGCCGACACCAAACTGGTCTCAGGACCTGTCGCCTCACATTGCCAGCAGTTAAGCTGGGAAAGCAGTTTTGTCTTTTACGCTCAAATGAGGGCGGGTTACTCTGATTTATGGCCAGGTGAGAAATCTGCAAATTAGGGAGGAAGACGGCAAGACCTTCAGTCTAAATTCACTATGTCTCCTCCCCAAGTCAGCTCCACCCTTCTGTTCTGCTCCCCAACCTGGCATAGAGAGCCCCATTGGATCCCTCTGTCCAAGTAAAAACCTTGGAATCTTCAACTTCTCCGCTTCCAACTCGTCCCCAATTTGACCTCAGAAACTGCCCCTGGACCCACCCTTGTTTCTCCATTCCCAGTGCCACAGTCTCAGCTCAACTCATTCAGTATCTCTTGCCTGATCTCTCTTCTCTTTTACATCTTCATGGGCTCCCTGCAGCCTCAAGGACAAAGTCCAGCTGTTGGAGGCCCTCCAGTTCCTGCCCTTCCCTGCCCCAGCCATACAGGACTACTTCTCACTCCCCAAATGCCTGGGCCCTGCAGGCCTCGTCCACAGCCTCTGCATATTGTCCTCTCTGCCTACCTGCCAACCCCCAAATCAAGGCTCTCCTCCTCCCTGGGGCCTTCCCATCTCTGCTGGCCTGCTAACCATACTGTCCTGTACACTTTTTTCTTTTCCTTTTTAGGGTGTCTCTCCTTTTTGGGCTGCTTGAGCTTGAAGGCAGGAGCCTCACTATCCTGTGTCTCTAGATAAGGACTGCCCAGGCTGGACACAGGGTAAGCACCAGCAAAAGTTTGCAGAATGACTGACAGCTGGCCAAGAGAATACAGGATTCCGAGCCCCGGAAAGGGCCTGTGAAGAGCCAGCTGGTAGGACAGGAAGAGCCCAGGAGCCCCAGTGATGCCTCGGGGGCTGCCTTGGCGCGTGGCTGTCACCCTGTCATTCACATGTGCCATGCAGTGTTTTTTAAACTTAGGCTGTGACTCACTCATGAGTCATGAGATTAATTTCTTGGGTAACAATCAACATTTAAAACAGGCTATCCATTGTAACAGTAAAAACTGTATTTGTTCCAATTTTCTGATAATATGCACATATAAAATAAATGTGTGTGCTGTGGAAAAGCTTCATTATATCATTCTAGCATTAGATTACAGAACACGGATTTTGGGTTTGGAATTGGACTCCCTGACTTACTAGCTATGTGACTTTGGAAGATTATGCAACCTGTTATATGGGGGTAACGTCCATTGTAGAATTACTCTGAGGGTTCAGTGAGGTAAATATATAAAGGACTTAGAATAGTACCTGGCACACAGTAAAGCACACAGAATTTTATTATTACTACTATTATTATTGGGCCACAATACAGAATGTTATCTCCTAATATGCATTATGGTCAAAAGATTTGAAGAAAACTGGCCTTAGACATTTTATATGCATTATCTAATTATACGCTGACAAGTCTATAGGAAGCCATTATCCCTTTTTAGTGACAGAGCAACTGAGTCTCAGGGGAAGTGACCTCCCAAGGTCCGTGACTAACCGTGCTGCCATCTGTAGAACAGCAGGGCTAGTGCAGACGGGGCCTAGAAGCAGGTTCCAGGGAAGGAGGGTTCCTGGGGAGAGGCTGGGGTGTAGGAATCTGCTCAGCCCTGGCTGCACAGGCAGGTGGGGCTGTGGTCCCGGGGCTCTCCCCGCCCAGCACCGTGTGAGGGAGGGGACGCAGTAGCAGGGTGGTGGGACGGCACTTACTTGCACTCGGCCTCTGCATCGGCTTTGGCGGTTGTATAGAGGCCACGCAGCTTTGTCCGGTAATAGGGAGAGACTGCAGAGTAAGCACAGGAGAAAGAGGGGTGGGCGAGGGGCAGCTGGCAGTCACGTGACACCGACCGCTTCTGGGACTCTGGGATCAGACTCTGGGAGGGACGGAGTGGCGGTGGGCTAAGGTATGAGCTTTACTAGCTCAAAGGTGCTCCCTGAGGCACATGGAACCCATGCACAAGGAGTGCACATTTTCATAGGGTACAAATACCATCGCCACATCTAAGAGAGGACTTTCCTACCTTCACCACAGCATGACACATGCCAAACATATTTCTCAGCATGCGGGGAAGTAGAAAATGTTTTCAAAGCTCAGAGGTGGAATACACAGCCCAGGAGCACCACCATCTGAGGGCCTCCGGGCCTGTGCGGGCACCTGTGCGGGCAGGTCTCTCCAGAGAACACCAGCTAACTGGGCTGCATGCGCTCTCAGGCATTTCCCTAGAGGCAGCCTCATTTTGCTTTCTAGTCCCTAGAGCTCGGGGCTTTTAAGGTTCCTTAGTGCTAGGCAGCCATCTGTCACCTGTCTCCTGGGTCACCTTAGGTCACCCAGCCTAAGGGAAAACTGTCCCTCTGGCCTGAGGAGCAGCTCATTTTGGACCATGCAGATACATGAAAAGTCCCTTTTGAAAATGAGAGCAGCCCCGCCCCCAGTCTCGGCCACACCCCTCCTCATTGGCCACCCCCCACCTCATTGGCCCCAGCTACTCACTCTTGTTCTCTGTCTGCATCCGCTCGTGGGTCTTCTGAATGTTCACTAAGTTGTGTTCGCTCCGCGAACGCTCTTCCTGCAAAAACGAGGTCAACAGGACATGAGGGGAGCCCTTTGTCCTGCCGGGGCACCCTGTGTCCCAGGTCAGACGCCCCATACACATGGCCCAAACTCAGGATCAGTTCACAAGGACTTTTTCCTTGACTAGTGCAAAAGCATTACAAAAGGCATCAAGGTTAAATCATAAATTATACATTTAATGACTTTCCTTCATCAAAAAAGACAAACTGATCTACAGATTCAATGTAATTCCCATTGACAAGCTTATTCTAAAAATTCATATGGAAATTCATGTGACCCTGAATAGCCAAAACAACCTTGAATAAGAAGAACAAAAATGACATTGGAGGACTCTCATTTCCTGATTTCCACATTTACTACAAAGCTACAGTTGTCAAATGGTGTAACACTGGTATCTAGAGCACTGGAATAAGAGTCCAGAAATGAACCCGTGCATCTATGATCAGTTCACCTGGGGAAGAGGGGATGCCGAAGGATGCCGGTACCACTCTTCCCCACATCAGTGGTCCTGGGACCAGGGCTGCAACTGAAGGTGCCAGAAAAGCAGGGATGATTCCTATGTAAGAAATTGTAACTGTACCTTTTAACCTTTAAGTCAGAATTTCTAAGTGCCGGAGGGGGTGGGTTATACCTTCACCCCATCAGGCAAAATCGGGTTAGTGGTGAACGCAGCTACACTGCCCTGTGGTCACACCAGCCCACTAGCTCTGCACCTATGTAACCCTACACGAGTGGGAATGATGGGGATGGAGCCGGGGAACGGGACACTTTCCAGGCTAGTGCTGCTGCTAACAAACTAGCAACCTGGACCAGCACAGTGGCTGAACCTAACGTCCTTCCAAGGGTAGAAAAGTCTGACTAAAATTCAGTGATGGGGCCGGCTGAGTGGCTCAGCTGGTTAGGAGTTGGCTTGAGAGTACGAGCTCTGAGCAGCAAGGTCGCCGGTTTGATTTCCACATTGGCCAGTGACGCTGTGTCCTCTGCAGCTAAGATTGTGAACAGCAGCTTGACCTGGAGCTGGGCTGCTGTGAGTGGCAGGCGACGGCGTAGGCTGCAGTGAGCCGCAGTGAGCCGGAAGCTGCCGTCCAATGGCCAGCAACCGACTGCCTCAGCCGGGAAGAGCGTAATGATCATAATACCAACATGGGCCAGTGAAGCTGCGTCCTCCACAACTAGACTGAAGAACAAAAGGACAGCAACTTGGATGTCCCCCTCCCCCAACTCCCTATAAAATCTTAAAAAAAAAAAAATCAGTGATGGAGAGAAGGAGAAATAGCAGCCGAGGGTGAAAGAATGACTGGGTTATGCAACGCGCTAAATTCAGTATTGCATTACTGCCTCGAGAGAGAGGTTCAGAGCAAGAGAATGACACAGGCTCTTCACTCGGCTACGCCAGATGCCCCAAAGGGTGAAGCCACACATTTGCCAAGACCACCCCTGCGTTTAGAACCTGACAAAAGCCCATGAGAGCACGCACACCTAGGGGCATTCCTCTGGGACATTCTGGTCACACGGTCTGATGATGAACTGGCCTAATGCCGACGAGTGAGTGGAATTCTGGCAAGTGCCACAACCTTCTTTTTCTTAGCTTTAAAATTGTATTAATCAAGTAGTTTTAGAGCAGTTTTAGGTTTCCAGAAAAATTGAGCAGACAGTAGAGAGTTCCTATATAGATGTTTTTGCCTGGAGTTTCGCCTAATAGCTTGCATTAACATGGTATATTTGTTACAGTTTAATAAACCAATACTCAACATTGACATTATTAATTAAAGTCCATAGATTACATTAAAGTTCACTTTTTGTGTTGTACCTTCTATGGGTTTGACAAAAGCGTAACATATTGTACCCACCATTACAGTATCATACAGAATAGTTTCACTTCCCTAAAAACCCCCAGTGCTCCCATAGTTATCCCTCCTTCCCGTCCTCTGGGACCCTGCAATCACTTATCTTTTTACTCTCTTATTTTGTCTTTTCCAGAATGTAACATAGTTAGCATCCCTATCTAACCTTCCCGACTGGGTTCTTTCACTTAGTAATATGTGTGCCACCATCTTCTGACTCAGTTTTCAGGTGACATCCCACTACGAAGGGTGTCATTAGGAAAGAATTCCTGGGATCTGCTCAGTCCTGGTCCACGGGACTGAGGGCTGAATGGCTCTGAGCGGACGGATCCTTGTGGGACTATGAACCTAGATGATGGGATGACGAGAAAGGTCCCTGGGTATCATGGACAAAATACAGCAGCCCAGGCCTGACATGCCACAGCGTGTTATGTACAAACACACACCATCACCCTTGATTTGGAGAATGAAAAGCTAGTACAAAGAATAGGGGGAAAATGGGTTTCTGATAGGATTAGAGCAGTAGGCACTACGGGGAGGGTCCAAAGTCCCCAGGGGAACAGCCCCACCCTGAGATGAGGAGGGTTTAGAAAGGCTGTATGATATACTCAGGCTAAATTACATCTAGGTGTGACTACCACTCATCCGACCCTAGTACGGGGCACCCAACATTTCTGGGTACAAAATATGTGCTAACTGCACCCAGGCCGTTAGTACACAGTGGTAACAAAATGCGTGGCAGAGTGAGCAACACTAGTTCCGAGACAGAAGAGGGTGTGGGCTGTGGGACAAGCTGAACTCACTTTTAATAAGAAGCAGCAATCAAGGAGAAAAGGTTTGTTCATGAGAATAAACAGGCTGAAGTGAGCTCTCTTACAGGCGGAAGGAAAGGGATGGGAGTCAGCCTGGAAAGACGCCGATGCTTGAGTGAGTGGTCCAGGCCAACCCAGCAAATGATGCCGGATGACTCTAGGACCCATCTGTTGTTGGGAAATGGCTGTACCCTGACCCACCGGGCCTCTAGACTATTTCAGGACAGATGGAGGCTACAGAAGCCACGGGCAATGGCTCTCCATACTACGTGCTGAGCCCCCAGGGACACACCGATGGGATGTTGATGGAAGGACCTCAAACCTATGGAAGCCCTTGTAATTTACATCCATGCACCGTGACTACTCTGGACCCCAGAATTCATCAAAGTAAGACACATCCTGAAGTACAGTTGGCAGAGACAGATTGTTACTCTGAATACCCTGTCCTTCCCATGGGAGGGAGGTGGGTCTTGCTGACAGCACATGATGGAAACCAGTCTCAGCACAGGCCTTTCAGCTGAGTCAGGGTGACTGGCTTTATCTCCAGCTGAACCCGGAAATTGAATTATGGCCAACTGTAATCAAGTCTGTCTACAAGAAAATCTGGTAAATGGACAGGGCCAATTCTGTTGGGGAGACATAATAATAGCTCTGTAATCCTTCTTTGTTCTATGGTGAAAGTGAGTTTTACCATGGCCATCCTTCAATACGGCGTCACACTGGCATTAAGACCCGACTACCTTATGCAAAGAAGTCATGTGATCATACTGATATTGATGACCGAATGCACTGGGAGACCGAGTCAAAGCCTTATCTTGACCGAATGCACTGGGAGACCGAGTCAAAGCCTTATCTAAGTGAAATATTCGTGGCAAATGAGTGGCCTGAAGCAGAACTGGCTTTAGCTAACCATCGGCTAAACAGTTCTACACACATTTATCATTAGGTCCAAATAGTGGTAGATGAAGGGGGGAAATGAGTCATCAAGTTAATATGACAATAGGAAACATATAATGGCTCTCGAGGACAGATCTGTGTTTCTTCAGGTCCACATCCACCCACACTGGCTCCTTCAAACATTAGGCGTATTCATGCTGATACTATCGCTGTACCTGTGATATACACGGTCCACTGAAATGAGATACTCCAATATGATCGCTGTGCTGTAAAAGCTGAGGCCAGGTGCCGGGGACATAGCTCGTGCCATCAAAGGTTAACTAAGCGGCCTGGATTTTCAAACCCTACACATTCCACAGAAGGTTTGGCCCCTGACCAGCTTCTGAGCCTCTTGGACTATCTTGCCTGATAAGAGCATCTTTGTTTACTTGGGGTGAGGAGGTGGAATGAAAAAGGAGTGACTGCTATTGGGTGCAGGGCACTTCTGTTAAGCAATGCAATGTTCTGAAATTGATCATGGTGATGGTTGCACAACTCTCTGAATATACTAAAAACCACTGAATTGGTTGTTTATTTATGTGTGTGTGTGTGTGTGTGTGTGTGTATTATTTTTTGAGTTAGACCAACAGCTTTATTGAAAGATGAGGACAGCTGAGTCCCCTAACCCCCACAGACCCAGCTGCGTCGGCCTCAGGCTTGGGGGCGTCCGGACGTCTTGTAGCCGAAGACTGAACTGTACACTTTAAACGGGTGAACTGTATGCTGTGTGAATTACATCTCAATACAGCTGTTCTTAAAAAGAATCACGAGATCCTGCGCGTGACAGACAATCCAACAGGAACGGTAGCCATGGCCCACATTCCCTTCCTCCTCTCGCCTTCATCACATCCTCGTGGTTCCCGCATGTCCCATCTTGCTGAATACAACCTGCTCCGACCCCTCTAGAGCTCAGTGTCACAGCCCATGTCCCCCCAAGGAATGGAGGGCTGGGGTCTATTACCTGCGTCTGTTTGATGAGCTGATGGAGCTCGGTGAGAAGTTCTGCAATGCGGGAATCAGCAGACACAAGGGCCATGGTGTACGGGTCACCTGGGGGAAAGGGAATACAAGAGTACCTCGTTCACTGCTGTTACAAGTTAAACTGTCCTCCCAAAACACATGTTGAAGTCTTAACGCCTGGTACCCCTGAATGTGACCTTGGCAGCAGGGTCTCTGCAGATGTGATGAAGACATACAGTAAGATCAGGTCCTACTAGTGTGGGGTGGGCCTTTACTCTAACATCACTTGTGTCTTTAGGAGAGGAGAAGAGACACAGAGACAGGCACACACACAGAGAAAGGAGAATGCCAGGTGGAGACACACACACAGAGGGGAGATGGGCACATGACACAGGCAGAGATTGGAGTGGGCAGCTGCCAGCCCAGGAATGCCAAGGATTGCCGGGCACCACTAGAAGCTTTGAGAGAGGCATGGAACATATTCTCCTTCTGGGCACCCAAGAAGGAACACACACTGGATTTTGGAATGAAGCTGACCCCTTGATTTTGGAATTTTGGCCTTCAGAACTGTGAGAGAACACATTTCTGTTGTTTTAAGTCACCTAGCTTGCAGTAATTTATTACAGCAGCTCTAGGAAACGAATACAGTGGCAAGCTGTCCCGGAATTCTACCCAATCCAATGATATGTTTGTATTCAACACGTTCAGCCAAATCAAGGAGTGCTTATTAAGTAACTTCCCAAAGCAGCAGCCCCAAGTCCCACTTCTGCTGCCACTATCCTAACAAATGGTTTAAGCATTCTGGTCTCCATTTTTTTTTTTTTTTAATCTGCAAACTGGGGATTCAAATAACATTTTATATGAAGACACTTTCCAAGTCATAAAGCACTGTGACTTTTTTATTATAGAAGGAAGGGAAATTAACTACTAAAAAAAAATCTGATTTAGGAAAGAGAATGTATTCTGACAACAATAAAATGCAATAAAATGTAATTGGAAAAAGAACAAACGAGGGCTGGCCAAGTGGCGCATTGGTTAAGAACTGGCTTGGGATGCCAGAGGACCCCGGTTCGGATCCCACATATGAGGGCCAGTGACACTGCCCTCCACAGCTAAGATGCTGAACAACAGCTCAACCTGGAGCTGGGCTGCCGTGGGTCGCCAGTGACGGTGTAGGCTGCAATCCCCTGCTGCAGTGGGCTGCCATAAGCTACCATGTGTAGCCGGCAGCCAGCGTGAGCGGCCAGCAGCCACCGTGAGCGGCCGTTCAAAAGCCGGCGACTGACCTGCCTCGCCCGGGAAGAGTGCAATGATGGTGCCAGCTTGGGCCAGTGAAGCAACATCCTCCACAACTAGACTGAAGAACAAAACAACAGCAACTTGTCTGTTCCCCTCCTCCCCGATTCCCCAGCACTGTTCCCCTCCCCCAATTCCCCAATAAAATCTTAACAAAACAAAACAAAACAAAACAAACGACAAGAAAGGTAAAAAGAGTAAGTTATTATAACTAGGTAAAAATCAACATAAGGCTAAAGATAAAGGAAGGTTGGAAAAAAAACGAGAGGGAAAATTTTTAGGGTGCTGAAATTTTCTGTGACACTCCATCTTCCAGAAAGGTTGTTCAATGAACATATCTCCACACCCACAAGGACAGATGAACAGTGAATAGAGCAAACCCCTCCATCAATAAATTGTAAACTCCATGTATTTAATTATTCACATCTTCTTAAAAATCTCTGCTTCTGTTTATTAAAAAATATACAAACTAAGAACAGAGGGGAGCTTCTTTAGCCTGATAAAGGGCATCTAGGAACACCCACAGCTAACATCTTACTTAACGGTGAAAGACTGAAAGCTTCCCCCTCTAAGATCAGGAACAAGCTAACACTGTTCTGGAGGTTCTAGTGGGCAAATAAGCAATAAAACAAAGAACAGAATCCACACTGGAAGGGAAGAAGTAAAACTATCTCTATTTGCAGATGACATGACCTTGTAATAAGAAATTCTAATTCACTCCACCCACTCCATTCATGGTTAGAAGTAATAAAAAGGTTAGAATAGCAAGGTTGCAGGATACAAGGCCAATAGACAAAAATCAACTGCATTTCTAGTCACCTGTAATGAACAATCCAAAACAAATTATGAAAGCAATTTCATTTCCAATAGCATCAAAAAAGAATAAAATATTTAGGAACAAATTTAATCAGGGATGTGCACAGTTTTTACTCTGAAAACTATAAAACACTGTTAAAAGTAATTAAGAAGACCTAAATAGGAAAGACAGTCCATGTTCATGGCTCAGAAGACTTAATATCGTTAAGGCAGCAATACTCCCCAAATTGAGCTATAGTTTCAATATAATCCCTATTGAAATCCCAGCTGGCTTTTTTTTTGCAGAAATTAACAAACTCATCCTAAAATTCATATAGAAATTCGAGGGATCCAGAATAGCCAAAACAATCTTGAAAATGAAAAGCAAAGTTTTCTCAAATACAAAATGTATTATGAAGCTATAGTAATCAAAACAGTGTGGTACTGGCATAAGGAAGGACATAAAGAGCAATGGAACAGAACTGAGGGACCAGAAATAAACCTTCACGTTCAACTGATTTTCAACAAGGATGCCAAGACAACTTAATGGGGAAAGAATATAGTCTTTTTGAGAAACGGTGCTGAGACAACAGGACATTCACCTGTAAAAAAATGAATTTGGGCCCCTACCTCGGATCATATACAAAAATGATCTCAATAAACAGTTCTCTAAAGAAGATGTACAAAAGGCCAACAAATACATGAAAAGATGCTCAACATCATTAGCCACCAAGGAAATGCAAATCAATGCAAATCAAAACTGTAAGGAGATAGCATTTCGTGCTCACTAGCTGTAAGTGGGCTGGCCGAGTGGCGCGTTGCTTGAGTTGGCTTGGGACTCCAGCTCTGAGCAGCAGGGTTCCGTTTTGGATCTCACTTTAGGGCCAGTGACACTGCCCTCTACAGCTAAGATGGCTAACAACAGTTCGACCTGGAGCTGGGCTGCCATGAGTCACCGGCTGCCGGCGTAGGCTGAAGTGGAGCTGCAGTGGGCTCCCATAAGCTACAGTGTGTGGCCGGCAGCCAGCATGAGCGGCCGGCAGCTGGCGTGAGTGGCTGGCAGCCGGCGTGAGCGGCTGTCCAGAAGCTGGCGACCGATCTGCCTCACCCCGGAAGAGCGCTATGATAATACCAACATGGGCCAGTGAAGCCACGTCCTCCACAACTAGACTGAAGAACAAAAGGATAGCAACTTGTCTGTTACCCTTCCCCTGATTCCCCAACGCTGTTTCCCTCCCCCAATTCCCCAATTAAAACAAACAAACAAACAAACAAAATGGACATAAGTGTGGGTGAGGATGTGGAGAAACGAATGAATGAATGAATGAATGAATCAATCAATCAATCAAGTGTGGTATTATCCATACAATGGAGTATATTACTTGACAATAAAAAGGAGTGAAGTACTAACACAGGCTGCAACAGGATGAACCTTGGAAACAGGACGCTGAGTGAAAGAAGCCAGGCAAAAAGGACCATATTGTATGGCTGCATTTCTATGAACTCTCCAGAATATGCAGACCCATAGAAAGCTGGGGGTGGGGACGGCTGAGGGAGAGCGGGGAGTGGCCAGGTGATGAAAATGTTCTAACACTGATGGTGGTGATGGTTGCATAACTCTGAAAACACTACAAACCACCGAAATGCACATTTTGACAGATGTACATCCCCATCCCCCCAGCCCTAGGCAAACACGAATCTACTACGGTACTTTCTGTCTCTATAGATCTGCCTATTCTGCACTTCATTTCTTTTGGCTGTTGAGTAATATTCCATCGCTTGGACTGACCACATTTTGTGTATCAATTCATCAACGGGATAGCTGGGTTGTGTTCACTTTTGGGCTATTACACATAATACTGCTAGGAACACTCTTGTACAAGTTTTTCTGTGGACATGATTTCATTTTTCTGGGTATATACCTAGGGGCGGAATTGCTGGGTCACACGATAGCTGTATTTAACCATCTGAAGAACTGCCAGACTGTTTCCATTTTACATTCTCATCAGCAATTAATGAGGGCTCCTATATCTGTACCGTGTTAATGTCTGTCTTTTTCATTACAGGCAACCTAGTGGGTGTGAAATAGTAACTAGTGGTTTTGATTTGCATTTTCCGGATGGTTAATGATTTTGAACAGCTTTTCATGTGTTTACTGGCCATCTGTGTATCTTCTTTGGAAAACTGCCCTTTGTCCACTTTTATTGGGTTGCCTGTCTTTTTTATAATTGAATTGTGTTCTCGAAGCTTATGTTTTTAATTTTCATGAAGTCTAATTTATTTTTCTTTGATTGCTTGTGACATTGATCTGTTTTTTTTACATGTGTTATACTATTTTTACCACCACAGCTTTATATAATGATTTTAACATAGAGAAGCAAAAAAGAGGAATAACTAGACTTTAAAAAGTCTAGTTGCATTACCTAGAACCAAACGAAATAAAGGATCTGGAGTTTAGACACTGGAAGTGGATGAATTTGAGAAGGGTAAGCATAAGGTCACTGCTAAAGTCTTGGGAAATTACCTGCTGAGTGAGAAAACAAGAGGAAGCTGCAACAAAGGTGAAGGTGTGGACCCAAGAGGGGAGTTTAGTGGAAAGAGCCTGCAAAGGAATGGATTAGCCTGGAAAAGGGTTGTTCTCTCCTGGTGAATAAAGCAGGATCCTGGTTGGAACCACCTGCTTCCTACAGGCCCACACCTGTGCCTATTCAAATTGGGAAGCCCCGCACTGGACAGGTGGATTTACTTTATATTGTACCCTCACAATCACCAAGAGCAAGCACCCCTCTACGCAGCCAGGTAATTCAGCAATCCTTCCCTGATGATTCTGACAATCTGAACCTTCTCTCCCCTCGATATCTTTGCTATTGCCCTCAGACCCGGGTCTGGGCCCCCTTAGCTGATGTCTGAGGTTCCTACTTTGCTCAGAAGAGAAACCAGAGACTTTATTCCCACCATCCCAATGAGGAGCTATAAACAGCAGCACCTGTCATGTCTGC